ATTCATTTAAAAAATAAAAAAAGAAAGTTTGGGCAGACATGAGAAACTGATACCTTCGTAAGACTTCCCAAGAGTATTTGACTTACTTCTATCTGCAAACTCATGCTCATTTGATGATATTTTCACTAATTTATTTAGTATGGCTCTTAATTATATAAAAGTTTTAAAATTATTGCTCATTTTGACCTGCAGATCCTAACAGCAAATAGCATATTTAACAAGTTTAATGGTAGTACTACAGATAGTGCCTTGTTGTTGTTGGTAGTTTTTTGGATTTTATGTTTTTACTTTCCAGCCAACTAAGAGCTTCAGAATAGTTATTGAAATTAACCTATAGAAGTCCAGATATTTTTTTCTCATACCTCCTTGTAACAGGCTTTCTGCTCTTAGCGGAAAAGTTTAGATTCACTTGCCAGAAAGAACCCCTTTCGAAATTTCTAGGATTGCCAATCTTGTAATGATGAGGTGACGGGTTTCCTACTTCATTAACTTTTACCTCAGAGATTTTGCTATGTAAATTTTTTTACTGCTAGTTGTTGAAGTCAAAGCAGTAAGCACACTGTTCTCAGGGAGAAACACTTTTGAATGACAATCCATGAAAACGTTACATTTAATTCAACCACATCAAGTCCGAGCTCTTTCAAAATGATGTGCCCCCCTGACCTGTGCCCCCAATAGACAGCTGACAATCACACAATTAATTCTTAGAGGGTTTATGTCACATAATTAAGACTTGTTGACTTCTTCATTCACTTTGTGCTCTACTAGTATTTGCCAGAGGACACAGTGGAAAGGAAGAAATTATCACAGAAAAATCTCCATGCCTTAGCATAATTTTGAACCCAAATTATGTGAATCAGTCCATTATTTGAGCTGAGCAGTGGGGCACTGGAGATCCCTGATGTGTGGCTATGTATTTGCTGTTTGCCAGGCAGGTGCTAAAAGGCCTTAGTAGTTGTACTTGTGAGTCAGAGATAACTAGGTCCTGCGTCCAGTCACAGCTGCGCTACACAGTAGCTTCATAACCTGACAAGTCACTAACTCTTCCAGGTCTCAGTTTTATCATCTGTAAATGGAGAAGGTAACACCCCTCATAGGGTTGGATGATTAAATAGGCTCTATGACTCAAGTTCTCAACATGTTAGCTATGTTAATCTTTACCACATCCTGAAGGATGTGGATTATAAGTATGTGTTATAAGATTTGCTTTCAGATGAGGGAACTGAGCTGAGGCTTACAGAAATAAATGACTTATCTCGCTCGGGTTACTTAGCTAATACCTGTGAACCTAGGCCCAATGTCTCCCCATGGTTTCAAAACAGCATTTATATCCTCCAAATGGGGTACATTATATTTCTAGTCTTGTTAGTCTTAGTCTTTAAAATGTAAATAGCATCAGGCAGACCCCAGATCCAAAGGTCATGAGAACAGGAAGGAACTGGGAAATAAGAGTGATGAAGCCAGACAAAAGTCTCATGGGCTCTTTTATACCAGGATGAGTCTTGAGGGTCACTAAAAGAATATTTTCTCTCCAAGCACATTTACAAGTAGCTGGAACCTACCTCCCAGGCATCCAAGAATGTGGCTTTACCGGGGAGGATATTGCCTTTGTCGTCTCTGGGAATGAGTTCCTTCCCAGCCTGTAAATGCAGAACCATAAGCTTATTGGAATCGCCATCTGGTTACCTGGTCCTGTTAAACAAGGCTTCAGGATTCTGACTTGTACTAAATCACTTCACAAACTGTTTTGAGAGGCTGTGGAGAACACAGTTCAAGGCAATGAGCTGCAGTAAAATCTCTATAACATCTATCTTTGTATCTAAATCTTTCTATTTTAGAAACAGCTGAATTGATTTTAAAGTGCATTGTTGGCATATTCTAGAAGCCATCATTATTGTAACAGATATTATTGTCATATACCTAGGCCCCATATAAATTTGGGGACAAACTAATTTCTAAGCCACAAGGCAAGGGTTAGATCTCAAAGGTTGTGTTTGAGGGAAGATATTAACCAACTTTTAGCCTTGTAGCCTCTAGAAGCCTGGATTAGCTGTCACAAGGGGACAGGACTGTGAATTCATGTCCCTCTCACTGCTCAGGAGTAGGTAAGGAGCAGAACCCTGGGCAATGAATTTGGTGATTTTCCAGGGAGGACTGGCTATCATCCAGCCTCGGTCACATGCAGGTTTTCACCCTTAGGTCACTCCCAGGGTGTGCTTTGGTTAACAGGAGGGTTGAGCCCTGAAACAGTGTTATGAAATAGGATCCAGAGTTCCCCTAGAAGGAACTCTGGGGCATGGAATTATGATAAAGGCAATACAACAGTTGCAGCTTCTCTGGGCTGCCCCCAAATCAGTTTCTCTCAGATATACCTGCACGAAGACAGGCAGACTCAGGCTCCCTCCAAGACCAGGGTCTTGTTGCTCTGTACAGGAGGTCTTGCTTACCCCACCCCACATCCCCACCCTAGCACAGCTGCTATTTTATGCCATCTTTTGGATGAGCAGCCCGAGATTGGGCCAGGGAGTAACTCAAACCTGAAGCCCCTGTGGAAAGTGAATGAGGTAGATGTCCAGGTAGTCCAGTTTCAGGTCCTCCAGGGTCTTCCGGCAGGCCTCCTTCACTAGGCTTCTCTCAAAGAATGTGCACCACAACTGTAGAGCACAACAAAGAGCCATTGGGACAGGAGAGAGAAAGGGTCACACTGTACCCTCTCTCCCTGCTTTGAGAGTTGCAGCCTGATCTAACTTAACAGCAGGCCATTTAAGACAAAGGTCATCGTGGTTTATGATGCCGTATGACAGGCAACTGGTGTTCAGCATGTCACTGATGTTTGTAAGGCAATTTACAATTTGAATGCTCTTAGTATCCCATTTCTTTGATCATTTAGGATATGAGGCCACTGATTAAATATTTGTGCACCTGCTTTATTCCTTTACTTGGATCCCAGCTCTCTGAGAGCAGGAATTGTGTGTAGCTTTTACATTTCAAGCATTCTTATGCCATTGGGAACAGATGGCCCTTTTGTGTACCCTCAGTATCCCAAGGCTACCAGGTTCCAAGTGCTGGCTTCGCAAGGAGTTTATCCAGATGTAGCCATTGCACACTTGTCCCACCAAATGTGCTTTCCAAGGTAGTAAGTTCTCGACCTACAAATGAGTTCCATTCCTAGAGAACATTCGTAAGTTGATTCATTTGTAATCTAATAAAGTAAGTCTCATACAGTACACCTGCGAATCTTTCACCTTATATTTGTGAATCCTATACCGTACACCTGTGAAAATTTGTAACTCAAATGTTTGTAAGTTGTAGCTAAAACTTACTGTAGCTAAAGCTAGCATCTTTTATTAAGTTGTGTGTAATACAGATACAATGGTTTTCAACTGTCTCACACATACGGAACCCCTCACATCAGCATCCCCTCTTCACTTTTTAATCTCATTTTATAACTAACCTTTTACTGAACTGAAAAAAAAATCCAAATATGACAATGAAAGCTGCTCTCATAATTTTACAAAATACCCATAGCTGAGACCTCAGTTTTGTGGCCACTGAGACCACAGTGTTGAAAGGTGGACTCGGGACCCATCCTTGACTGCATCCTTTGTCTCTGACTGCCAGGGCACAGATGGAGCCCACTGATAAAACCTGGCAGGGCCAAGGGTACCAGAGGCTTAGTGGAGCCATTCTTACTATGGGAAGCCAACTCTAGACAACATGAGAACAACAGCATCTTCCACATACCAAGCTTGGGTGTGGATGTTTGTATTCAGGCATGGGATAAAGGGCAAGTTAGAGATATGAACATAAAGGGAATACTGATGAGGTCTTGGTATCAAACAAATCCAGGTACTCCTGCCTGCCATGAAATCAAGCCTTCCCCCAATGTGGGACGCATGTACCTTGCTAACAATGAAGAGGTCCTCCCGCCTCACAGCCTTCTCTCGGATCTTCTCTTGGATGGCTTCTCCCACCTCATTCTCATTCTGATAGGTGTAGGCACAGTCGATGTGGCGATATCCTGCATCAATGGCTGCCTTCACAGCTTCTTTGACTTTGCCTGGAGGAGACTGAAAGGCAGCTGTTAAAGCCATCAGATGCTCTTATTCCAAGACCCCTCATCAGGGTGGCACAGCCCATTGTCTCCAAACGGAGGCTCCCTGGGGTCCCATTGCCAGTGGACACCTGGGAGGCAAACACTTTGGAAAACTTTTCAAAAGAAAAGAAGAAGATGATTTAAAGTCACGCTTATGACCTCATGTCCTACCCTAGATAAAAGTCAATTCCCTCTAATCTAAGCAAACCTTCAATGTCCCTCATTGGTCAGGAATGACAGATGGCTCCCACTGCCACTTGCTGAAGACCAGGCTGAAAAGTAGACTCTGGAGCAACACAGTTTCAGACCCTGGATGGTTCTAAGGATATGGGAAATGGTCTTTACAGGATGAAAGCTCTACCACGTGGCAGATGTACAGTCCTGAGCAGATTCCTCCATCTCTCCAAACCTTGGCTACAAAATCGGACTCAGAAGAGCCTTGGCCTCATGAGATCCTTATGATGCCTACTTGCTACAATGAATATATAGTTTTTTCCATTTCACCTGACACTCAGTAAGGCTCAGCAAATGCAATTAATATATAATTTTTGTTTCAGAAAAAGGAGAGATAGAAAAGCCTATAAGAATTAGGCTGGGGATAAAGCTCAGCAGTGCAGCCACGCCTACCTGGCAAACACAAGGTCCTGAGTTAAATTCCTGGTACAAAAAAAAAAAAAGAAAAAAGAATGGATTGTTTTTCCACCCTCAAGGGGAAAAAAAAAGAAAGAAGAAAGCCACATTCTGCTCTAAACTTGCCAAGTCAATGAGAAAAAAAATAATGTATACCTGTAATCCCAGTGCTCTCGGAGGCTGAGGCAGGAGAATCACAAATCTGAGTACAACCTGGGCAACTTAGTGAGACTCTATCTCAAAGTACAAAACAAAAAAAGGGCTGAAGGTATAGTAGTTAGTGTGAAGGCCCTGGGTTCAATCTTCAATATAGTCAACCTCTGGCCAAAAACAAAACAAAACACACAAAACACACACAACAAAAACTTCACAAAATTTTTATCTATTGTGAAGTAATAAACATTTCAAAGAACATAAAACAGAGCTGGGTGTGGTGGCACACACCTATAATCCTAGCACTCAGGAACTCAGGAGGCTGAGACAGGAGGATCATTGTTTGAGGCCAGCCTGGGCTAGGTAGTGAGTTCAAGGCCAGCCTGGGCTACATAGCAAAACCTTGTCTCAAAAAAACCACAAATAAACAAACAAAAAATGAGGAACACAGCTATACCAACACTAGGATGAGAAATTGTTGTGGGCAGCCCAGAAGCACTCTGGGATCCCCCTCCTATCCACAACACCCTCTTTCCCCTCCACCAATACGTATATAGTCCTTTAAAATGTACAACCCTGTATCTTGAAAACAGCTCACTTCACAACCTGCACATCTACTTTTGAAATTCTGAGAATTAATTTCTGCAAAATGTATCCACCATGAGCATATTCATTAGCGATCTGGAAGTAGTAATTATTTGTCACTTGTGTATGATTTTAAAGTTCTGATTTGGGACAAATCTTGCTATTTAAGAAGAGAGGCTGAGACTGAATGAATCGGGCATGGGTGTGCTCACTAAGAAGAACCAATAATGAAACCCAAGACTACAGAAACTCTGTGCTGAAACCAGGAGGCATCCTACCCCCCACAGGAGAGGAGATGAGAAAGTCAGTACAGAGGAAGAAAGAGAGGAAGAAGATACAATCCACAGAAGAGGCCCCAGGGAGGAGAGAAGATGAGATACAAAGACAATTCCTGGAAATTTATCACTGAGGCTCATGAATCTGCTTCACTGGGTGCTGGGGTGTGCATTTAGAGTATTTGCCAGTTGATTTAAACACAGCCAGGGCTTGATCAGAGTTCCCGAAGCCAGCCCAGGCTCTCCGGACCCCAGTGCGTCTCAGACTTTAATATGCATGGGAACCATGTGGGGATATAAGTGCCGATGCTGATTCGGTAGCATGGGCTGGGGCTGAGAGTCTGAATTTCTAGCAAACACCTGGCCCACACTAATGCCATCAGTCCAATCCCCACAGTGTAGGCAGCAAGCGCAGGGGGCAGGGCTTTCTTTCAAAGCTCTGCATCTTATCTCAGTCACGCCACCAGCTGCAATCCCATGGCCCAGCTGTACTGAGTCCCTCTAGGCTAGGCTAGCCTCTAAAGTGAGGCAGAGGAACTTTCTGGCCCCAAGGTACGAATAAGGTTCTTGCAGGATGAATCTGAATTCTACCACATTGCAGATGTTCTGGGCTGACCAGATTCCTCTATCTTCTCAGAATTAATACCAGGGAGCGTTTTAGAGGAAATAGCTGCCAAGAGAGTAACTTCCCTGAAAATGAATTTTTAAAAAAGCTTAACCCTGAAACTTGAAACTTGTTGGAAAAGCTCTCAGTGCTGATAGGGAAGGCCAGGTCTGGAGCGTCTCTGTGTAGCAGCCCTGAGAACAGAAAATCACTTGGATCCTGGTTCTAGGGCTGAATCTCATCTCTCCAACCCCTGCCCTAAGTAGAAGCGGAGAAGAAAACAGGCTGAAAAGCCCCTCTAGGGAAGCAGGGGTCCCTAGATTTGCATATTTACCTTCCAAGTGCCTAGGCCCACAATGGGCATGTTGACTTTGGTGCTGAGCTCCACAAAAGTTGCCATAGCTGGTACAGGAATGGTTGTGAGGGAACAGAGAGATGTCTTGTGTCCTAGTTGAGAGGCTGGCTCTGGCTGGGGGGGGAGGAGCTTGAGCCTGAAGGCAGACACTCAGGGAGGAAATTCATTTCAGTCTTTTGTAAGATTGATTATAGTGAATAGGGATTAGAGATAAACTAGTACAAACTCTCCTCACTACAAAACACGTGAGTTACTTTGTGAGTGACACTTAGGGTTTGTCTATCTAACTAATAGGCAGGTCAAGAATCCCCAAGATAAAGTTTATGTGAGAATGAACACTGCAGTGAGAACCTGCACATTTCTTTGTGGGTATGCAAAGAGGCTTAGACCAGGAAGTTTCCTAGGGCAAAATGAGGAAGATCACTTAAATTATTCTGAGATAATAACCCATGGCTATAAGTATTATAGACAGATGAGTTAGGTAGAAATATGACAGGCAGTCAGAGTTAGGTCCATGAAAGGGTCAGGACAGAGGTAAAACACACAATACAGCTGTGACCAGAGACATATCAGTTGGAAACAGGGCCTTGAGATAAAGACAATAACCAGACCTACATGGTTCCTCAAAGAACAAACACTGGGCCCAATGAAGTCTAGATAAACATCAACCACCCTGGTGGGTGACCAGAGACCTCTGGACCTACCACTTCCTAGGAGAATCTTTGTTCTTTCCACCCACGCTTGTTGAGTGGCTTGTTTCCCAACTGGACCATTATTACCTAAGTGACTATACTTGTAACCTTACTAGATGATCATGGCTGTGGCCCATGTTGTAACCACGTGGATTTCACTCTATAAAACTCCTCTGTGAAGTGGGGTCCCCAGCTACTCACTTGGGACCCCTTTTCCCCCTCAGAAGCTTTCCTATCAATAAATATCTTCCTACTCTTCCGTTGTTCCTAGAACTCAGTCTTTGACTTTTAGAGAACAAGAGCTTGGTGTGTCATACAGCTAACAGGTTGGGAGATATAATATTTCATATTTCATCTCTGGTATTATTTCCTATATCACATGGACCAGTAACACAGGGGATGTCAGTCCACTATTAAAGAGATAGTTGTTAGGCACATGTCTTTGCAGAAGTACTTTTTGTGTAAGATTCTCACAGCCTTTGTGCAAGCTTGGTTCTGGCATCTTTCGTGAATGGCTGTTATCATAAGACACATGTGCATAAGATCCTCTCCTTCATTTATTCTTATTTTTGTTAGGGTTTGACACAAAAGACTCCATTTTTATTCTGGCAGTGTTCACAGGTTTCACCATTTTTTTTTCTTTTGCTAGCCTAATAATTAGAAAATAAAACTGTATATTTTAACTTGTGCCTATGTAATTGCTGTAAGAGTATAAAAAATTTTCTCCCCCCCCAAAAAAATTTCTCCCAGAGAATGGAAATTATTTTGTTAACCTTTGGGAAGGATCTTTTTATGCTAATATTCTTCTTTTGTTTATTTCTTTAGGATTTGTGGCTTTGGCTAATTGTGCTTATAATGAATTTTGCAAGTTCTTGTGCCTATCTTAAACAAAACCTTTGTGGTTATAAAATACTATATATTCATTATAGAAAATGTGAAAAATATAGAAGTTTATAAATATGATAATATAAATCACTTGTATTTCCATCACTCAAATGTCACTGCGAGGCATGATTGCCCTCCCAGCTTCGCTCTCTACATATGTGTGTGTGTTGAATGCACTACATATAGTTTTAAAATCAACACCACAAAACAAACTTTTATATACATTTATAAAACTCCTTTTAAAATTGCTTTTCTACCATTTTCATGACTGTATAATTGTGAAAGATTCTATTTCATGATCACTTATTTTGCATTTTTCCTATTCTTGTACACTTAATTCCCAGTTATTTCTATTATAAATAAATAATATTTCAAGATATATCATTGTAAGTGAGGCATTGAGCAGTTTTGCTAATTTCCTATGGGTGTTGGGTTAGATTTCCAGAAGTGGGAGTATGAAAGGAAATTTATTTTTAGTTTACATCTGAAACATGTGGATCCAAACTATTGTTCTTCCCAAATGGGAAAATATTCCATTGCTATTTGTGGAATAATGTATTCTCATCCTCTTATAATTTTCAATAACTATTTAAAAAGTGTTTACAACTTTACTTTATTAATATTATGAAAGCAATGTATGCTTTTTGTAAAAAGGAAAAATGCAGAAAAAATAGGAAAAGTTATGTACAAAAGTAGAAGTCATTTGCATGCACATATTTAAAGATGATCATTGTTAATGGCATGGGGGTACACCTGGGGCTATCCAGTTGAGTAGGAAGTCCCAGGTCAGAAGAGAGCTACGCTCCACTTCCCAGGGTGAGACTTGAACAAAGCCATCCAGTCTGGGTTAGACAATGATAGTGGATTTAGGACAATGACAATGACAGCAGGCGTATCTATGTGTGTGGACCAAGGGTCTCCTCAGGGTATCCCAGGAGCCTCAGCACAGTGTTGGTGGATAAGCCCAATTGTCCATGTCCACTAGGGAAGCTGACTAAAAGGAAGAGAGCCGGCCACATATCTTATGGTTGGGGCTGTAATGTATGTAAAACCTACTGCTCATAGGTCAGGGAGTGGCTTTCTGGCTAAGGATCTGATGGTGCTACAGACATCTTGGATGCCAGCAGACAGGGGTAACCACATTTAAGGGCCAGATATATAGGTTATACCTTAGGAAAAGTCAACCTGGAGGTAGAGGTCACAGCCAGGCTCAACTCCCACACTGTGATATTTCACATGTCTCCCTGAGCCCTACTTACATGTAGAAAGAAGAAATACAATCATAGTGAGTTTTAATCCTGAAAGAAATGGAAGTCAAAATGAAATAATGGAGAAGGCAAGTGCTATGGCTTGTCCCCCTCATGTGGTCATAGGTGGAGCTTTTCAGAGTTGGCTGAGAGTGTGTGATTCTGGAATCAAGGATACAAGGCTAGGACTAAGGTTGTGAGGGCTACCTACCCTAATGTGGGTAGCCCGGTTAAGATATAAAGCACAGAAAGACACTTGCCACCTGTAGCTTGCTGCCTTCTGCTTGTGAAGAACTGTTTCTCCTCTTCATGCCCCTCTGCCATGCTACCCTGCCTTGGAGCCAGCCAATTATGGACTGAAACCTCTACAAACTGTGAGCTAAATAAACCTGTCCCCTTTTAACTTTGGGTGTTGGGTGTTTTGTAGCAGCAATGAGGAAAGTAAGACAGCAAGTGTCAGCCATGTGCAGTGAAGTTGAAGAGCTGTGTCTATACTAGAGATCTTTCAGTCTGTTTGACCTTGGCTGATAGAACATCTTGATTGTGAAGAGAGTGAACACTGTAGATCAAAATCAGAATTATCTAGTGCTATCTTTAGCTCCCTAGCAGATATCCCTGTATCTGATGGAAAATGTTAAAAAAAAAAAGTGACTTGTAGATAAAATTCCTGTAATAGCCAGGGATTTAGCTCAGTGGTTCCAGCACCTGCCTTGCAAGCACAAGGTCCTGAGTTTGATCCCTGGTACCAAAACAAAACAAAACAAAAAAACCAAACCAAATTCCTGTAATGTATCACTAAACTTGACATGTCTCCAGCCTCCATCTCTAAGCCTGAGAATGAATTCTGAATCTTATAGAAGAGATTTCCCTGCTCTCCCCTAGTCTACCTGCCTGATGTTCTCATGGATGTTATTGGTAAATGTATTGATTTAAGACTTTATTTTGTTTTGTGATTACAAAAGTTGATGTAATCTCTTTCAAGACGTCATTCAGGATAACTTGAATTCTTGTTCCCTGGTCATAGTTTTTTTTGGGGGGGAGGTCTCAGAATCTTATTTCCTTTATAGCAGAGTTGTTATTTTGACAGCTGGAAGTATAACCAAAAATTTTCAGAAGTATAAATGATCTTCCACAAGCAATGTACCCAGACCATTTTTTTATGCCATCTTAATTTCATTTATTAAGAAAATTTTTAGCCAGGTGTGGTTGCACATGCCTGTAGTCCCAGCAGTGGGGAGGCTGAGGCAGGAGGATTGCCACAAATTCGAGTCCAGTCTGGGATACATAGTGACTTCAAGTCCAGCCTGAACTACATAGTGAGACACTGTCTCACAGGAAAAAAAAAGAAAATTTTTATTTTCATAATTAACTGAGAAATCTGGCTTGGAATTTATCTGCAGGGAAACGGGATGCAAGCACAAGACTTTCTCAGGTTAAACAAAGGAAACAAAGTAGCCTTAGATGAGGCCAGGGATGATCATGAGTCTAATAAGTTCTTTTATGGTGCTGTGAAAGTTGATTCCAGAATAAAATTGTCCTTGTGAGTCCTAGACAACTGGACATGGGGAGGAATGAAAAGGAAGGGCTCATGCTGCCTGTATGAGATAAATGCTATCCAAAGTCTTACAAGAAATTTCTTTTTGTTCTACATGGGTCCCATACTTTGTAAGTCTCATATATGCAGCTTTCTGTAACAAAGCTTATATTTGGCGTTCCCTAAACTGCAGGAGTCCAAAGTGCTCTAGACAAAAGGCCCACCCAGCAATGGCACCTCCACCGGTGCCTTCAACTCCAGCTTTGGGTCTCCAAGACCAAGGGACTCTACCCAAATAGCTCATGTAAATTTTTCATATATATACTTTTTTTTTTTTACCTCTAAAAGCTTCCTCTTGCCTTTATCTCCTTGAAAACAACATAATTTCCTGTCACACCTGTATTCCCCTTACAATTCTGTCATTCTCAAAGAAATATTCTTTGGAGAATCTCTCTGATTGTAATTTACCATGGTAATTACTTATCTGCTTCTTTATCAGGCCTTGTGCTATGTGGGTTATGTGCTATTGTTATCTCCATTTCACTGATGAGGAACAGAGACAGAGATGTTAAGTAATTTACTCAAGGTACATGGTGGCATAAGGGTCTGAATCTACCTTTTCTGACTCCAGAGCCATTTCTCTGTTTATACTTTGGTTCTCTGCTGACTTACAGGTATTCCCTAATTTGCTTGTCCTAACGCTACAAAGTGGTATTATTTTTAACCCCATTTTACAAGGGGG